CCCCCCGCCCAGCAGCAGAAGTTCTGCATCAGGACCAGAAAACAACCATTGTAGATGGAGTGAGAGCCCCGGGAGGCATTTCTAAAATTATGATTAAAAACTTACTATTACCTGAGGTGTTGGAATGTATTAACAATATATGTTTAGTTCTGGAGATGAGTCTGGGGTTGAATTCGTGATGGGTAGGTACATGAGAATTACACAAAAAATTAAGCAAGCTGAAAAGGTGAAAATTTTAACTCTAGGGAAAGTAAGAAGATGTATAAGAAAGGCAATATAGTAACTGATGATGCTGTAATAATTGATTTCACTAAAGTTATGTTCTAACTATACGAAGAGGATGGGGAAGGGGAAATGTCCGTCTTGGAGGGGGATTGCATAAGACAGCCAAACCCCCATCTTCCTTTGTAGGAAGTCAACAGTCAGTAATCTAAAAAATTAAATCCATCAGTAAGTATCTGTGTAACATATTATGCTGAAATAGGAAGGCAGATCCCAAGATTAGAAAGTGGCATTGCCTCTGAAAGCAGAAGTGAGGGTTGAGGGGAAGAGAGATGCTGGTTTTTATTTTAACCCTCTAGAGCTCTTTGACTTTCAGAAATATATGCATATAACTTTGATAAAGATACATTAAAATACAATTCTAGGCAATGAAAGTGTGTTTTGAACAGAAACAGCATATTGTAGATTCTTCTGTACCTTGCTGTGCTCCTATAAAAATACCTTGCCAATCATCTCAGATCAGCACGATAAGCAGACTTCATTCTTTTTCATAGTTACATGCAGTGTCATTTTTGTAGATAGATTTGTTGGCATGCAAATTTATGAATATATGTATTGGGATATTACAATCCCAGAAGTAAAATTCTAGGTCAGAACTTGGAGCTTTTTCTAGATATTGCCCTCCAAAGGTGCTGCACCCAAATGTATGGCCTCACCAGTAATTGCCACGCACGCTTAACCAACACTGTGTGTTCCAAACCACTCCATCTCTTCAGTCTGATATGGGAAAGGATATATTGTCATTGATTTAACTTGCATGTCTTTAAATTTATTTTTCTAAAAACTGTCTATTCAATCCCAATTTCTTTCTTTTATTTATTTGACAGAGAGAGGAGGGAGAGAGAGATAGCACAAGCAGGGGGAGAAGAAGGCTTCCCGCTGAGCAGGGAGCCCAATGCAGGGCTCGATCCCAGGACCCTGGGATCGTGACCTGAGCCGAAGGCAGATGCTTAACCGCTTAATTGACTGAGCCACCCAGGTACCTCTATTCCATCCAGGTTTAAAAAATCTTTCCTGGGGCGCCTGGGTGGCTCAGTTGGTTAAGCAACTGCCTTCGGCTCAGGTCGTGATCCTGGAGTCCCCGGATCGAGTCCCGCATCAGGCTCCCTGCTCGGCAGGGAGTCTGCTTCTCCCTCTGACCCTCCTCCCTCTTGTGCTCTCTGTCTCTCATCCTCTCTCTCTCAAATAAATAAATAAAATCTTAAAAAAAAAAAATCTTTCCTCACTCAGATCCCTTCTCCATTCTCTTCTTACTTTCTCTATCCTGTTTCCCATAACTGCTTGTCCTTCTCTTCCTTTACAACACTGGATTAAATTTATCTTTTCCAGAAAACTTTCATAATAATGTTTTCATTTCCTCTCAGCGTTGTATATTTATGTGCCTATAGTCACAATTATAGGTATATTCCTCAGTTTTTAAGATGTCTGCCAAAAATACTGATTGTGATCTAATGATAATTATAAAGATATAGAGAATTATATCTTTGCGTTGGTTTTCATCATACAGTATTTCACAGAATATAAGATGTGATTGATTGCAGGACACAAAGTAAAAATGCTGTCAATTAAAAGAAAAAACCACAATGCTTTCTTATCACTTAGAATTTTTATTTTAACATTAGTGAATATTATACAATTCATATTTTTACAGCCTATGGGAGGTAAAAGCACTATGTAAAATGTTAACATATAGCTATAAAACAGTAGGAGTTGTCTTAGTAAAATGATGCCTACCAAGTACTAACATTAGTAAAACAGGGTCTGCTGTAGTGTTGGTTTAATTATTTTAAGACATTTAAACAATCAGTACTGTAAAACAAAACTGATATTCCATTCAGTCACATGAAACTCTCTGACTCTAACTCTATATGAATTCCTATTATACAGTTTGAGAAGCTTATGGCTCTGTGATTTATTTACACTTACTAAAATACCAATGAGATTAATCTCATTGGCATGTATTGCTATACCAGAGGGTCTAAGATCTAAGATCAATGTTGGTTTGGTTATCAACAAAAATTTTCAAAGTTCGGAGGTGACATTTTTCAGAAAGACATTAGTCCACAGATACACATAAAAACAAAGTACTAAGTTTCTCTATTTAAGGGCAGGTATATTCATTTTGAGATAATATTAAGAATGTACAACAGGTTGCTTTACAATTGTATTTTATAGTAAGAACAATAAACTAGGACTTAAATGAATTTCTCAATATGAAATGATTCTGAGAAATAGCATAAACCTTTTAACATGTAGACTTTCTGTAGAGAGTATGATACTAAAATTTACGTATAGCTTCATGTTCCCACAGAATAATTTGTAGAAGGAAATAACTGAGAGTAACAGCATACATGTATCTAGTCTGTTACTATTTTCAAAGCATTAAAATTTTTTTAATCAATGTAAACAATAATCCAGTGAGAGATTTTCACCTCCCATTTTATAGATGATAAAGTTCAACAGTGATAATACAGAGGGAATCACTGTAATTACTCTTTCTCATTTTAATTTATCAGAATATTTTATTTATTCCCATTTTAATATTATGCTGCAGCCTTATAGAGGAATATTCATTTACACTGAAAAGCAAAGAAGACTGCGTATGTAGTATGCCTTTGGAGAGTGAGAGAATTATAAAGAATTTTAATGAGCTAATTCATTTTTAAATCTCTATTTAAAGAACTGTTCTCAATAGCAATTTCTCCATGTAGGCAAGATAATATAACTTAAATATAAAAGTAAATTGCATTTCTCAATTATCCTGGATAGCAAATAATTAATATTGAGAACATCCAGTGTAAGGTAAAATAGACTTTGGGCATGTTAAATGAGTGGGCTGGCACTTTCATTTAGTCAATCAATTGAATCAACCTTCAAAGCAGGTGAAATTAAATTATTATACTATATGGAATCTTCAAATCTATTAATCATATATTTCTATAGCAATGTATGAAATAATACCAGATAAAGAATGTAAAAAGTTTAACAAATACATAGTCAATGCTAATAGTAACATCTTCTTGGAAATAACATTACTTTTATAAATAGGCTGAGGCAGAACTATCAATTTCACATTAATACCTCACAAAACTCACAAAAACAAAGTCAGTATTTCCCATTTTCATATGCAAAAGCAAGATAATAGCTAGAGTATGTACAATTTACATTAAATACATCTTAGAAAAGAAGATAAATGAACTTATCTTCCACATATAATATATACTAACTTAAATTCATTCTTTTATTTTTGCACAGTATCCTTTTATAAACTACACTTTTTAACTGAAGAGACTTCCATTAAGTACTATCAAATTATTTTCTCCATGTGAAAGTCTAATTTTGTTTCTCACTAGAAAGTTTTTCTTCTCTCTTTAAGTCATATTGTTTTGAAATAATGAATTACACTTAAATTATTCATTATTACTGGCTGTCTGGCATGTGGTCCTTTCACAAGAAACAAAATATTAACTTCTACCAAATATATACATCGCTCTTCTAAACCATTTCATATTTGCGTTTTATAGCACTCGCGGACTAACGATGTGCAATAGGTCACAAAGCTGCAGGAGACTATTCTGACTAGTGGTATGAATGTACGCCGTCTGTGGACAGGAGGAGAAGCGTGTCCAGGACCAGAACGGCAAGGATGGCGACGGCTGCCAAAAATGCTACTCTTTCCACCAGCGAGATGGGACTTTTTTGAGGAAAAAAAAATATCTACATTTTACATTTCTTTACTGTATACATAAAAGAATAACAGACATTCTGATGACTTTGGTAAATGAGCAAAAACTTTTTAAAAACTTCATATGCTTCACACAATATATGTTAAATAGTTTTAAACGTTAAAAGTACAATGTAAACCATCACAGTATATTATACAGTAGCTTAATTTCTATTTGTTTTTCAAAATTATTTTAATGTAATTAAAAACCTGGTAATAATGGGGATTTTTCAACAATTCTAAAGGCCCTAAAATAAATCTCAAGGAATATTCATTTTCTGAAAATAAGTTCACAGTCCAAAACCAAAGAAAATATGTTGTTGCTGTTAATTTTTAAGGGATCTAGATTCCAGGAGTCATACATTATTTTGAAATGAGGCAATTTCTAATAAATAAATAAAAAATTTTAAATACATTCTTATATAGTCATTGGAAGTATCTATATACTTCTGAAGGGAATGAAAAAGTACAGAGTTCAGTAAATCAAGGCAAAAGCTCAACTTGATAACACATAACATGTATAGTTAGTGAGAAGATGCATTTTAAGTGTCTTATGTTCAAGAATTCTGTCAAGAAAAATTATAATTAGCATTTCATCTTTTCCTTCATTTCTACATGTTCTGATCTCAGACCTGCTTCCATTCTCTGAAATTTGTGCTTCTTGCATCGTTTTGTAGATAATAATCCTTAAAACTTTGCTTTGGAAGTACCTAATTAAAAAAAATATATATATGTAAGCAATATTTATTTAGGATGAAACCAAGAGTGATGGCATTAATCAACTATTATTATGATATTAATGTGAAACAGTAAGGCACATAATGAAAACACTTGATAGAAAATATAAGATTCAAAGACTTAACTAAAACTTGAACTTAAAAGTTGAGTATTTTGTTTAGTAACTTGTCTAATCTTTGGTATTGTAAAGGTCTAAAAGAAATGTTGTTTTTGTCTCTCAGTCTATGTACTACTACATGGTTGGGAATACTACCTAAATGAACAAATGATAGGGTTCTACTTTTTTTTAATGTTAGTTTAAATTCTTATAGGGAGTATAAAGCTCCTTCAAATAGAGACAAAGAAGACCTGACTTCTTTTGTTCACTCAACAGTTACCACCTTAGATAGATAAATAAGCCTACTTGCCTCTAAACATTTTAGATCCAACATGAGTTTCCCAAATGAGTTCCATAAAAACAGATCTGAAAGCTTTGCAAAATAGCTGATACTTGGTTTTCTCTTAGAGAGACAAATAAATAGTGGCATATTAAGATCTGATAAGTTCTAAGGGGGAAGAAACCTACTGAACCATGCTTATTATAGTATTTCTCAAGCTTATTTGACCAAGCAGCTTTTTTGTTTTTTAGAATAATACACATTGATATCCTATGGAACCACTTTGGGAAATACTGCTATAGACAAATACAAACGTTTCAAGCTCAAGAGAAATAGCAAGAAATATACATATTTGCAAGCATTCACTGTCCAGACCTAACTAATCAGAACCCACAATCAACCAACATTTTATAGCTACAATAGGCTTTTACAAGAAAAAAGGAAAGGCAAACCTCTCATTCTGGAGATGAGCAGCAAATATGAGTTATTTCTTTGGGTTGACACAAAATCAGTGAATCTCCTGCATCTTTCTCAATTACTGCATTCTATGGTGATAGTTTAGTAACAAATAAATAAGATGGCTTTGCCATCAGACAGAATGAGGCTCAAATCCTAGTGGGCCATTGACTAGCAAGTTATCTTGGGTAATTACTCACTACGTCTTTATTTTCCCTGGTGTTAAATGGGACATCTATCTCTGACTCTACATGTGGAACACCTCATACAGGGCCAGGCACCTAAAATAACTCTAAAAAGTTACCTGTTATTATTGCAGCCGATGTTTGGACATGATCCTACAAAACAGTAACTAATATTCCTTAGATGCTAATGGTTCTAGATGATGAAAATCCTGCTTGGAGTCATTATACTGTATCTGCTCAGATACAAAACTGTAGGTTTAACAGAAAATTTTTCTTTCGAGACACTCCAAGAGAATTCCAGTCAGATGAGTATTCATTCTAGTTCATTTTTGCATCACAGCTTAATAGTAGCAAACCAATGCTTTGTTGTAATGACTAATTCTTAAATTAAATTACTGGTCTAAAATCATTAGAAGAATAATTTGTAAATTGAATTAGTGGCCTAAAAATAAAAAATAAGTTATAAGTCTATTTCTTTCAGCGATTTCCTAAATGTCATCATAGAAAAATAGATTATGACCCTTCCTTTGTTACTGAACAAATTTAGAGACGCTAACATACTTATCTGCTATGAAGTTCCTTCTTTAGACAGGATTTGAAAGTGGGATACTTCTGCACTGTTTTATAACCCTGTAGAACAGAGGATTAAAAAGTAAGCAAATGTAAATAAAATGTTATGGGGACACAGGTATGCAATAAATACATAAAGCAAAAATAAAAACACATAAAATTTGAGAGAGAAATACAGTGTCAGAGGCTTCTAGCATAGTTATATTTTAAATCGATCTTGCTACTCTAAAATTTTTGAGGAAAAATAGGTGATTTTCAACGTATATCCATCCTTTCAGGTTATTTGTGCCATCAGTCTCCAATGTTAACAAGTGACCGCTAGGTGGCAGTTAAGTACACAGTATCTGTACCAACACTCTGGATTTTTAAAAAATAATTAAAAATCTTTAAAAACGTTTCAGATGAATCTTGATTTTTTTGGGGGGTATATATAACTTTTTATCTTTTTAGATGTATAATACTTAGGGGTATTCTTTTTTTTTAAAGATTTTTTTAAATTTATTTATTTATTCATGAGAGAGAGAGAGAGGCAGAGGGAGAAGCAGGCTCCCAAGGAGCAGGGAGCCCGATGCGGGACTCGATCCCAGGACCCTGAGATCATGACCTGAGCCGAAGGCAGACGCTTAACCATCTGAGCCACCCAGGCGCCCTACTTAGGGGTATTCTTACCAAAGAGAGAAGACTGAACATTCTAGCTGTTACTAGAAAAATTTTTTCTTTTTCCATTTGTGGCACATCCACAAATATGTTAAATGTGTAAACGTTTGTTGACTTACACTATATTTCATAACTTAAAACATATTTCTGAGGAAAAAAAATCAGTAATTTTCAGTATAAGGCGTTAACAGGAAAAAAAAAACAGTTCAATAGACAAAATTTTTTTTACCTTGTTCTCCATTTAAAGTACTGAAGATGCAGTGACTTAAGAGTCTCGAATTGCTTAGTGGAAATCTGCATCGTGCAAAATGAGAATCATGCTATTTCTTTGTATAGTACCAAGTCTGAATTGCCTGTGTGCTGACTGAATTAATCAAAAAATATTTGGCAACATTTCTCCCCACAAACTGAGATGGAGACATTAAATTAATTGAATATGAAAATAACTTACTGAAATTCAAACTGATTTATATTTTTAAAAAGCATGAATTTTTATCTATCACCTTGAAGTGTTTTGGAAAGTAAGTATGACCTTATGTTTTTTCTTTTCAAATATAACATTTCACATTTATATCCTTAAGAATTTATATACATTGTTTTTGAAACTTAGGGTTTTTTCCTTCTTCAATTTTTAAAAAGGGTATCAATAGGCTTCGAATTTATTGGTTTACCCGGAATCCTCTATGGAGTCTGTCTTTCATAATTCCAATAAATTCTTTATAACTTAATTGATCATCTTTGTCAACGTCAAAAATCTTGAAGACTGTGTTCACTAAATGTGGTGAAAGTTTGAGGCCAGTAGCTACATAGACGGCACGCTTGAATTCATCTAGATAAATGTCACAGAAAAGAAGTAAACAGTTAACACTATTTTTATAATGTGTTAATTGCTAGAAAGGTTATAAAAGAAGTTTTTCTAAACATGGGTCATAACCTTAGTAACACATGACTCTTCATTAGTCATGCTATCTTTCAGGGAACAGAAAATGTTTGTGGTTTGAATTAAAAGGACCAAGAAGTAGCTGTATCTTAGGTTAATAATGTATTCATATTCAGTGGATGTTTAATGAGCACCTACTATCAGTGACAGACACTTTAGAAATTAAGATGAATACATTATCAAGAAACTTACAGTTCAGATGGGCAATGAGACACCTGCCCAAATAACCTAACACAGGACCACACAGATATTAACAGAGTGTATGAGAACTTGGACATGAGTGATTACTTCTGTCTGTAGTGTGGAGTCGTAGGGAAAGGAGAGGGAAGAGCAGTGATTAGGAAAGGCTGCGATTTGTATGTGAGCTGAGCCCTGAGAGATGGATGGGGTCAGCTTGTGGAACTGAAGAGTTTCCATAGCAGGTATATTGCAGAAGAGGTCTATGTCTTAGAAAGATTATTCTGTGAGCTGTCTAGGAAACATCAGAGAGGAAAAGAGAGATATACTTATTCCTAGCACCTGCAAGAACACACTTTTGATTTCCTTCATTCCCAGTTACAAAAAGTATAAAAGAGTAACTTTCCATTCTGAACCAGGTAAGCAGATACTGACTTGTTTTTCTTCTCAAGGTTGACTAGTGGGTTTATCATGGCAGTAAATGCTGGTCTGTGAAGGCAGGGCTCCCAAAGTTTTGGTTTGAAAACATTAAGGTAGGTTGAGTTGAGAGGATGCCTTATTTGAACATCTGCACTAGACAAAGGGTGAAATATGAATAATTTTCGGATTTCTCTAACTCAGTGAATCCATGATTGCAGCTAAGTGAGGGATTCAATATCTACATTTTTGGGAGAGAGATAATTTATTAGCACTTAGGGCCCACAGTTTGGCTTTTCCCCAGAACTTGGGAATAACAAGACTGTCCTCTGAGATTTAAACTTGGGAATTAGCACTTACTAGATTACGGCAGACACAGGTAAAATTACTTCAAAGACATAAATAGAAAGTCCTCATGTGGCAAGAATATTAAAAAAGGATATGGCCCATGAAGGAAGGGAAAGTGGTCATAGCCGCAGAATCCTAGAAAAACGACTGGACTGGTTAGTCTGTCTACGGGGCAAGAATGAGCTGGTCCTGAGGATGACAGCATTCTGAATTCTGTGACAGCTGTATTTCTTTGTAAATTAATGCAAAATCAACATTCAATTTTATATATTATTCATAAAACTCGATTAAGGTAAGTCCACAGCAGAGGGGACTCTGGCGGCAACATTCACGTTTCTGAGTCAGCAGAGATGGAGGGTAAAATCGGAAATATAAATATCATCCTGTGATGACGTTTGGGCATGGCTCTTCTATAGGTAGACACGTATCCCTCCATGTTACCAGTGGCCATGAGGTTTCTTCCTCTTTGGATCTTTACAAGCATTGTTAGCTCTTCCCCATAATATGAAATGAAGGCCAGTAATAAGTTTAATGGAAAAATTTAGCAAACTTCCCTAAACTCTGCTTAGGGAAAATAGATTTCCCATTGAAGCATACACCACACTTTCAGGCAATTTGATGGCCAATACGAAATGTCTCATTAATTTGTTGTCAAAGTTCCTAGAAACAACATATGATTATTTTTCCTTTTAAGTTTTGAAAGACGATTACTTACCTTGCCCTATAGAACGACTTGCAAAATTATACATATTCAAGGCTATTGCAAAGTCTTCCAAGTTGTTCAAAAACTGGAAAAATGACCTGAATTCGTCAAATGTGATGCCCTATATTAAGAGAATATATGTAAATATATTTAGTTTTGCCAAATTTACTACAATAAATATCCATACTTCCTAGAAATAAATAGATTAAGCATCTGCAATGTATCTTGTGAGTGAACATTTCCAGGGCACGTTCTGAAGCCTCCTTTCTCCAAATTAAATGTAAAATTCACTCATATTAATTTCCACTGCATGCGGTTGCTACCATTAGCAATGCTAGGTGAAAATATTTTTAAAACACTGTCATTATCAGCACAGTGTTTCAAAAAATGATACAACAAAAATGAATAAAAAAGTTTCAATTGTGATAACTTTGTATTTCAGGCCTAAATTTTTTAAACCCTGAAAGTAACTATGATTAAGAAAAAAAAAAAAAAAGTAAGGGGAAGACAACCCCTAAAACACCAGTTTCTCCTGTACATGTATTCCTTAAATGTAACTTAGCATTAGGTAGGTCATCAACATCTGTAATAATGACAATGCAAAAGCCAACATGCTGAGTAAGCCCAAAGCAGTGTACTTTTACTTATTTCTGTCGTGATTAACACTGTCAGGATAGCAGGAGAAGTACAGTGAGGGTACCCTTACAGTTCTGGGCCCAACACCAGGGCTTGGTGAAGGACCATGGGAAGGCTTCTAGGATGTCATTTACATAAATTGCAATTATTGCTACTGCTACTAGTTCAATTAAACAGGAACATTATTTAAAATAAGCACAATGTATCTTAGATAATACCAATTTGGACACGAAGAGCTACATTTAATTACTGTGTTCTCAGCAAAATCGACATAATTGAGAAAGTAAAGGGAAAAAGAGCAGAGGGCTAAGAGCTGGGGCTTAACAATTTCACACTTTAATGTAGAAGTAAAAGGAAAGGGAAACTAACAAGGCAGCATTGGAAAGCCAGGGAAAGAACCACAAGAGTCTAATATAAGCCAACTACTGATTAAATGATTATCAAAATAATATTCATTACCAATTTATTATCAAAATAATAGTACTAATTTTTGGCATACACTATTTCCACTTCACTTGCAATCCCTTTTCACTTACAAGGAGAATTCTCACTGTCTTTTCTCTTCACAATTTTCTCTCTTTTCTAATATTCATTTACAGACACTCCAACCCTGGATTCTGCTTTGTGACCCAATCCCACCTGCCATGTTTTCCAGGGAGGGCTGTTTGAATCAATTAGGGGGACTGAGCCAGAAGGGGTCTGTCTTGATGTGGAGAGCTTGTTGCTAGGGAAACCGGTCACTGTTCTGGTTCTGTATCAGTTTATGCTGCGACCAGCTGCCACAGCAATTTTTAAGCAAAGTATAAACAAAAATGTCAATACTTTTACGGAACATAAGATTAAAAAGCAAATCAAGGAATGACAGAATAGAATGTTCACCATCTGAATCTTTAGATTTTTCAAAACAGTGTTCTCCTGTTTGGAAAAGACAAGTCAAATTCAAAACCATACAGTAATTCTTCTATGTAGATTAAACTCTTTGTGTTTGGAAATACGGAACTGTAAACTGAAAAACAGGGCATTCATCTTGATGGAGATAATTTAAAGCAATCCATTCTTAGCAGCAGTGAGGGAAAGACGTGTCAGAGAGAGGGAGGATGGTCATTTCTTCCTCCTCTCCACCCTCACCTCCAAAATCACTTTTGTTAATGGAACATTTGGATTTGAATGAAATGTGTCCTAATTGTTAGAAGTGGAGTGAAAAGAAGTAACTTACATTTTAACAAAAACAAAATGATGATAATAACTGAAAAATTTAAAGCATCAAAAAGACATGAAACTGAGAGTTCAAAAATAAACCCAAATACCTATGATAGACTGATTTTCAGTAAGAGTCCCGAGGCCATTTATTGGAGAAAGAACATCTTTCTTTTTAACAAATGGTGCTGGACAACTGTATAACCACATGTAAATGAAAGGTACTGAACTTTTATTTCACTCCATGTACAAAAATTAACTCAAAATGGATCAAAGACCTAAACCTAATAGGTAAAATTGTAAAAATCTTATAAAAACCAGAAATGAAAATTTCATGACCTTGGAATTGGACAATGGTTTCTTCCCTCCTCTTTTTTTGTTTTAACATCAATATATTGTTTATTTTCAAAGTGGAAGGGATGCTGTATCTCCTACTTGGTAATGGTTTCTTAAATATGACACCCAAAGTATAAGCAACAAAATTAAAAATAGATAAATGAGACTTTGTCAGAAGTAAACATTTCTTGTGTATTAAAGGATACTATCAAGGAAAGTAAAAAGCCTACAGAATGGGAGAAAATATTTGCAAATCATATATCTAATAAGATTCTAGTATCCAGAACATCTAAAGAACTTTTAAAAACCAGTAACATAAAGACAACATGATGAAAACATGGGCAAAAGACTTGAATAGACATTTCTCCAAAGAAAACATACAAATGGCCAACAGGTACAGGAGCAGATGCTCAACATCATTATTCACCGGGGAAATGCAAGTCGCAACCACAATGATCCCACTTCACATCCACTAGGAGGACTCAAAATAAAAAGGCAGGCAATAACAAGTGTTATTGTGGAGAAAAGGTAGAGAAAATAGAAACTTCATTCATTACTAATGGATTAATATAGTTACTCTGGAAAGCAGCTTGGTAGTTCTTTAAAATGTTAAAAATTAAGGATGCTTTGTGACCCAGCTATTTACTCTGAAGTATATATCTAATTCTCTGACAATTCAAAACATATGTCCACATGAAAAAATGCAGACAAATGCTCATAACAGCATTATTTAAATAGTCCAACTGGAAACAACTCACCAACTGACAAACAGAGGAAGTGTGGTATATCCAAATGATAAAGTATTATGTGGCAATAAAAGGGAATGAAGTGCTGATATTTGCTAAAATATTGATGAACTCTGAAAAAGTTATGCTAAGTTAAAGAAGCCAGACACAAAGGCTCACAAATTGTATGATTCCACTTACATGAAATATCCATTATAGACAAATCCACAGAAACAGAAAGTGGATCAGTGGTTGCTGTGGGCTGAGGGGAAGTGGAATGGGTTATGGGATTTCTGTGTAAGATGACGAAAAAGTTCTGGGACTAGCACTAGTGATGGGTTGTATAACATTGTGAACATAATTAATACCACCACATTTTACTCTTTAAAATGGTTAAAATGGTAGATTTTATGTTACGTGTATTTTACAATAAAAATGTACATATACTACTGAAATATGTCATTCAGGATGGGAACAAGCACTTGGATTGAACTGTGTGGCAAGGCGTAAGTGAACACAACTGAGATAGCTGGTAAGACATAATTCAGTACAAAGACAAACTAGAACATGCGGTAGATCTCAAACTGCTACCGTAATCACACTGGGGGTTCGGGCTGCTACCACGCCCCGTCTGCAGCCCTGAGGCTGCTCCCAATGTGTGCACTTGTTTATCTTCGGTGGAGGTGCGTAAGCCTGAAGTAATTCTTAGGAGACCAGGGTAGGGGGCCTAAAGAATCCATCCCTCCACTGAAACAACGATCAGCTGGGAAAGACTGACAGAATCAACTTTCTTGAAACTCTGGAATCGAATCCGAAGTTTATAGCAAGGAGGGGACTGAGTAATAAGGAGAAGGGTCACTGAAATTCAGTGTGAGCCTTGTGGTGTCTCTGTCCAGCGAACTACCATTTTCATCTTTCAGTGCTGTGGCAGCAGCTTTGGGGCTGGTGGCTAATGTTCCTGGTGCGGCTTCCTGGTGCCAGAGGGCTGATATGGGCCTTGTTATTAACATGGTGTGGTATGGGATTTGGTTTGTCTGGTGGTTCCTTGAGGGACTAGCGCAGAGGCTGACTTTTGATTTGCCCCCTGGGTCTTGGACTGGTTTGGCTTTCATGGTGATAGCGACAACTATCGAAAGATATAAGGACATGCACACTCTGTGCCTGTTTGAGGCAAGGGATGACAGATGGGACAAGCGGCAGACAGAATCTAAAAACCTGGCAAAGAGAAGGCTGAGGAGAATGGTTATTGGAACAGGGGCTCAAAGGGCCATTGTAAATACATGGGAAATTAAACAGGCCCAGGAGCTGACACATGCTTTGAAAAGACCTGAGCAGATGTTAGGTAACTACCTCTGGCAGATCTGTGGGCTTTGTGGAAATAGGAGATCAAGGCAAAGGAAGAGGCTTAGGTAGCCTGGCTTAGTGTTGAAGGAATGCTCCAGCTCAGAGCTGAACTGCAAAGACAGTACTATATGTATTTTTTTTCTTCCTGGCTCTAGGCATTTAAGGAAATCTCTGTCAGTTCTCTGGCTAATTACAAAGATAACAGAACAGAGTCTTCAGTGACTGCACATGACAAGAAATACAGTCTTTCCCATTTGTTTAGTGCCTTTTCAAGCTACCCTGCAAATGGACAACTGCAGGGGAGAGTCTGGTTTTTCAGAGTTAGCAAAGCATAATATTCAAAATGCTTAGGTTTTAGCAAAGATTACAATGCATACAAAGAATTAGGAAAATATGGCCACTGGCAGGAAAAAAAAATCAACAAACCGTCCCTGAGAAGTTTAATCATTGGACCAAATAGACAAAGACTTTGAATCAACTGTCATACACTCAAAGAGCTAAAGGGAACCATGGATAAGGAACTAAAGGAAATCAGGAAAACTACCTGTGAACAAAATGAGAATATCAATAGATAGAAATTATAAAAAGAAACCAAATAAAAATTCTGGAGCCAAAAAGTACTATAACTGAAATATAAAGTTGAGTAGATGCTCAGCAATAGATTTGAGCAATCAGAATAAAGAATAAGTTAAAAGTATTCAGTTTGAGGAGCAGAAAGACAAAAGAAATAAAGAAAAGTAACAGAACCTAAGGAACCTGCAGACACCATGGAGCATACCAAAATACACATTATGGGATGTCCAGAAGGAAAAAGAAAAAGAGCAGAAAGAATATTTTTAAAAATAAGATTGAAAACTTCTGAAATTTGATGAAAGATAAAAGT